CACGTGCACGGCCAGGAACGCGGCCGGAGAGACGTCCTACTCCACAACACTGGTGGTCAAGGGTCAGTCCATGCGCTTGTCTCCCGGCTCCCTGATCTCTGATCCTGCACCATCCCCTGCCATCTGCCTCGTCTGAGTAGGAAATCTCCCCAGTTCCGTCGGATGACGCAATTTGACGCTGTTGTGTCATATGTGGCGGCAGGACAGCATCCAGCTGCACCGGCAAGGTGTGGTTTTTACGGCGGCAGGCGACGCTGCGCACCGTGCTTCCGTCTGGTGTCGGCTTGTTCTGGTGGTAGTCGCCCGGCGGTCTTCCCCGGCCGGCCTCGTGTCATGTCCGCAGCAGCTGGCGACTCACATCACCTGTTATCTCAGCGAGCTGCGTGAAATACGGGAAAACCAACTGCTCTAAGAGTTTGTTTGGTGACCTGAGGTGACGAAGTCTTGTTTGCACCTACTCCGGGAATCTCCATGTGGTCAGAAGACGGCAGCTCGGGGAATTTCGGCAAGAAGTAGCTCCTTCACCAGGATGTCTACCGGGCCAGTGTGCCGGCGCGCGTTGGCGGGTGGCACGGCGCCTGCCATCAGCATAGTCGTCGCATGCTTACCTCCGCCATGCCTTCCCGTGCACCATTTTGGTTGTGGACGCCAGGCGTTCCAGATGAGTACGGCACTAGCACGGGTCGTGTGGTGCTCAGTCCTCAGCCACGTGACATGACGTCTGGTGCTCCGCGTCCCCGTGAGGTGCTCAGCCTTCAGCCACCTGATATCACGTCTGGCGCTCCGCGTCCCCTCGTGGTGCTCAGCCATTGGTGGCGCTGCCCAGCCGCGTCACCATCAGGGACGACGGCAGGGCGGTTTGCACCAGTGATGCTCCCGGGCAATCCTCGCTCCTCATGAAATGTGCGTCGCTGGCCTTCCAGCATTACTACATAAGGCTGTGCGTCTTGCAGTGCCGCCGGAGATATTTCCGTTCCCTGCGCTGGACGCGCTCAGTGCCGGCGACGACGCCAGCCTGCAGTGTTACGTGTACAAGGGCGACACGCCTATGACCATCGCCTGGACGTTCCACGGCAAGGACGTGTCCATGGAGCGCGAGTTCACCACGCAGGGCGTTTGGGGACCGCACCAGTATGCTGCTGATCAAGTCCGTGTCCCACGGCCACTCGGGGCACCTACACGTGCCGGGCCAAGAACGCGGCCGGCGTGGCCCAGCAGTCGACCCGCGCTGGTGGTGAAGGGTCAGTCCGGTGGCTGGCGGCGCGCGCTACCCTGGAATCCTTGGTCTCCGTTCCTTATCTGACCTCCCGTCTCCGTGAGCTGGATCACAGCAGGCCCGGTGTAGAACCTGTTGTTGTCTTGCGAGTCCTCTCCAGCTCGCACGCTTGCACTGGGTTAGTGGTTGGCGGCCGGCGGTCCACGGCGTGGCGCGGTGCAGGCGTTCAGTGGGTACTCGGAGCAGGCTCGTGACGCTTACTTCGCTGAGTGCGAGGGCATGAATCGGACGGCGGGCGCCTGTTTCAGTCCAGCCCGAGATCCTGCCGATCCCTGTTGCGGACGCGCTGAGTGCCGGCGACGACGTCTCCCTCAACTGCAACGTCCTCAAGGGCGACCTGCCCCTGTCCATCACCTGGACCTTCCACGGGAACGACGTGGCCATGGACCGCCAGTTCACCACGCAGGCCGTCGGCAAGCGGACCAGCATCCTGCTCATTCAGAGCGTGTCTCACGGCCACTCGGGCACCTACACGTGCCGGGCTCGAAATGCGGCCGGGGAGACGGCGTACTCCACCGATCTGCTCGTCAGGGGTTAGTTCGGGGACCGCGCGGACGCCGCGAACCTCACTCCGCCCGCCCTGGATTGGTGATCATGTCGCTCTTGGCGATATCGCCGTTTCATTCCATCTTTCCTTATAGTACATCCGCCCTTTACATTGCTTCCTTAGTTTTCGGAGTTATTTTGATTGCTGCCATTGACATCGATAAACGGCCCTCTGGTTGGGTCAAACGCCATCGTCTGAGTCGCGACGGGTTCGACTTCATAGTCCGCCGTCGAGCCGAATATCATCCTTGGGCAAGTCCGTACACACACACGTCTGGGTTCTCTCGACGGTGCCGTCAGTCCTCCTGTGAGCTCTGCTTAGTCTCGGGAGGTACTCCCGCCTCGGAACAAGTCCCGACACGGTGAGTGCCGGGAGACGAGACATCTCTCAGCTGCAACTCAATCAAGGACGACACTCGGCCGCCGCTGAGCCGGATCTTCCACGGAGGAGCGTTCGTCCACCAGGGACAGAGGGGCGCTGTCCCGCCTGGCGCCGCCCGTGGCGCCCTGTTGCCTGCGGCCATCCGTCAGCCAGGAGCCGGCGCCGTCGGCCTACCCCAGTGGCCGCCCTTGACGACCACCGGCTCGCGGGAGCTGGGGACTGGATGAGCTGGCTGTATGGTGTCAGCGTTCTCTTCGGCTGAGCCGCCAGCTTTCGGTTGCAGTGCCACCACAGCTGGCTGTATGGTGTCGGCGTTCTGCTCGGCTGAGCCGCCAGCTTTCGGTTGCAGTGCCACCGGAGCTGGCTGTGTATGGGTCGGAGGAGGCCCTTAACGCCGGCGACGACGTCTCCCTCACCTGTAACGTCTTCAAGGGCGACACGCCGCTGTCCATCGCCTGGACCTTTCACGGCCAGGACCTGCCCATGGACCGCGAGTTTACCACTCTGACGGCTGGAGACCGCACCAGCATTTTACTGATCAAGGGCGTTTCTCACGGCCACTCGGGCACCTACACGTGTCTGGCCAAGAACGCGGCCGGGGAAGCTTCGATTGCCACCCCGCTGGTTGTCAAGGGTCAGTCGAATGTTAATCGATGCTAATTCTGTCCTTCATCTCCTTGTCCGTAGTCCTTACCTTAGTCTCCCCAACCACGTCACTGTATCTTGGCCAGAACGTCACTGGCCAACACTACTGCACGTCGTCAGAGGCCTCGGTTCAACGGTCTTTGCGCCGTACCTGGCTTAGGCGAGAGCATAGAGTCGGCTGGTTTGGCATTCTTCACTCGCTTCGTCGGCACCGAATGGGCCATCCTGTTCACTTCAGTTGAAAGCAAGCCAGCATACGTCCCCAACCTTCCTTGTACATCCTATAGATGCAGGCTAAGCCCTCTCACCAATCATTGCAGTGATGGTACTGATATTAAGCAGCGTCGACGCCGGCCTCCGGTTGCAGTGCCGCCAGAGTTGGCTGTCTTCGGCTCTATGGAGGCTCTAAACGCCGGCGACGACGTCTCCCTCACCTGTAACGTCTTCAAGGGAGACACGCCGCTGTCCATCGCCTGGACCTTCCACGGCCAGGACCTGCCCATGGACCGGGGCTTTTGTGACACAAACCTTCGGGGATCGAGCCAGAATGCTACTGATCAAGGGCGTTTCTCACGGACACTCAGGCACGTACACGTGCCTGGCCAAGAACGCGGCCGGAGAGGCGTCGATCTCCACCCCCTCTGGTCGTCAAGGGTCAGTCGAATGCTTGTAGAACCCGTTATTTCCTCCCGTCCCACTCTATCCATGCGCCTAGCATACCTTGTCCTGATATACCTAGCATACGTTGTCCTTGTCGGCGTCGTTCAGTGTTTCGTTTACGATCCGGTCATGTGGGCTACGGCGTTTACTCCTCCCAGTACAGAAGCATCGTCTGAACTCGGTGATTGGTCCTTCGGTTTCAGACTTCCTTCTGAGCGCGGTATTTTGGATGGAACAGAAGAACTCCGCGCCTGTCGCTGGTTGCATGGACATTCCTACCTTGTTTTGGTCCAGACTCGGGATTGACGGCCGTTGTGTAGAGATCTTCTGCCCAGGCCCAGGTGCTGGGTTTTGTCTTAGGTCTTCTTAGATCCAGCTAGTTAGTGGTGTTACTTTAGTCAATTATCTGATGGCTACAACGGATACAAAGTAACAGATACGCTGGACGCTGGTTACAGCTCCGCCGGAGCTGGCTGTGTATGGGTCGGAGGAGGCCCTTAACGCCGGCGACGACGTCCTCCCTCACCTGTAACGTCTTCAAGGGAGACACGCCGCTGTCCATCGCCTGGACCTTCCACGGCCAGGACCTGCCCATGGACCGCGAGTTTACCACACAGACTGTGGGCAAGCGCACCAGCATTCTCGTGATCCAGGACGTTTCTCACGGACACTCGGGCACGTACACGTGTCTGGCCAAGAACGCGGCCGGAGAGGCGTCGGTCTCCACCCCGCTGGTCGTGAAGGGGTCAGTCGAATGCACGATGACTCTGACCCTAGATCCCTCCTGTCTGTTCCGCCAGCCCATCTTACCATGCCTCCACCAGGAGCTCTTGACAGCACATCGGTCCAGTTATACACGTTAGGGGTCGCATTCACGACAGGCAGAAGAGCATTCTTCGACGGGTATGGAAGCATCCACGCTTTAGATGGATGTGTTCGGCAGCTGTCGTCTCCATTGCAAGCAGGCCTTCCGTGAGCTTATCTTAGATGGGGCGGGCAAGCGCCACCTTAGTGCTGGTGGACGGACTGTGTTTGACTTCTTCGTTGGTTGGCGGTTGCAGTGCCGCCAGAAGCTGGCTGTCTTCGGCTCAGTGGAGGCCCTTAACGCCGGCGACGACGTCTCCCTCACCTGTAGCGTCTTCAAGGGCGACACGCCGCTGTCCATCGCCTGGACCTTCCACGGCCAGGACCTGCCCATGGACCGCGAGTTTACCACTCTGACGGCTGGAGACCGCACCAGCATTTACTGATCAAGGGCGTTTCTCACGGCCACTCGGGCACCTACACGTGTCTGGCCAAGAACGCGGCCGGGGAAGCTTCGATTGCCACCCCGCTAGTTGTCAAGGGTCAGTCGAATGTTAATCGATGCTAATTCTGTCCTTCATCTCCTTGTCCGTAGTCCTTACCTTAGTCTCCCTAACCACGTCACTGTATCTTGGCCAGAACGTCACTGGCCAACACTACTGCACGTCGTCAGAGGCCTCGGTTCAACGGTCTTTACGCCGTAGCTGGTTCAGGCGAGAGCACAGTGTCGGCTGGTTTGCCATTCCACACTCGCTTCGTCGGCACCGAATGGACCATCCTGTTGACTCCAGTTGAAAGCAAGCCAGTATATGGCCCCAACCTTCCTTGTACATCCTATAGATGCCGGCTATACCTTTTCATCGAGCACTGCAGTGATGGTACTGATATTAAGCGACGTCGATGCCGGCCCCCGGTTGCAGTGCCGCCAGAGTTGGCTGTCTTCGGCTCCTTGGAGGCTCTTAACGCTGGCGACGACGTCTCCCTCACCTGTAACGTCTTCAAGGGCGACACGCCGCTATCCATCGCCTGGACCTTCCACGGCCAGGACCTGCCTATGGACCGCGAGTTTACCACACAGACTGTGGGCAAACGCACCAGCATTCTCGTCATCCAGGGCGTTTCTCACGGACACTCGGGCACATACACGTGTCTGGCCAAGAACGCGGCCGGAGAGGCATCGACCTCCACCCCGCTGGTTGTCAAGGGTCAGTCGAATGCACCAACAACGGCACATACTCTCCTTCGAATGGTCCGCGCGCCTTTCCTACCTTGCCTTCAACAGCACGGTCGGCAGTGCCATCCACACGCGCCGTACGCTCCAATTGCGTCAGCCCCGCCGCAGACAGACACGCACATTGGGCCGGGCGGTGAAGTGCGCCCTGCCGGATGAGCGCTCGATAGGCTTCGGTCCGGTGCAAACTAGCCCAGATGGCGACGGGCTGAGAGGCTGACAACTTTGATGGGGACTGTCGAGCTGTGATTCCTGAACGGCAGTGGTAACCTCACAGAGGGTTAATTTTTGCCGTAGTGCTTTTTATTGTTGATGACTTTCTCTTCGATTGTCGTTCGTAGTGCCGCCGGAGCTGGCTGTGTATGGGTCGGAGGAGGCCCTCAACGCCGGCGACGACGTCTCCCTCACCTGTAACGTCTTCAAGGGCGACACGCCGCTGTCCATCGCCTGGACCTTCCACGGCCAGGACCTGCCCATGGACCGGGGCTTTGTGACACAAACCTTTGGGGATCGAGCCAAGATGCTGTTGATCAAGGGCGTTTCTCACGGACACTCGGGCACGTACACGTGCCTGGCCAAGAACGCGGCCGGAGAGGCGTCGATCTCCACCCCTCTGGTCGTCAAGGGTCAGTCGAATGCGCGAAGACACTGTCCCTCGTTCCGTTCTGCCCGCTCCGTCAGCCCTTGTCACCATGCCTAGAAGCTCCTGACAGCGGACCCCTGCTGCGATGTGGACCACATCGACGCCTCCCCGGCGAACAGATCACAATCCGGCTAGGTTTGGATTGTGTGCACTGGTTATAGGGTAGCGCCTGGCGGCTTTCCTATAAACAGTGCGTTCACGCGTTTTCCGCTTACGTCGATGGGTGTAGGAGCATTAGCTCTGTACTGGTGGACGGACTCTGTCTGACTTCTTCGTTGGTTGTCGGTTGCAGTGCCACCAGAGTTAGTTGTCTTCGGCTCCTTGGAGGCTCTTAACGCTGGCGACGACGTCTCCCTCACCTGTAACGTCTTCAAGGGAGACACACCGCTGTCCATCGCCTGGACTTTCCACGGCCAGGACCTGCCTATGGACCGCGACTTCATCACACAGAATGTGGGAGATCGTACCAGCTTTCTATTGATCAAGAGCGTTTCTCACGGACACTCGGGCATGTACACGTGTCTGGCCAAGAACGCGGCCGGAGAGGCATCGACCTCCACCCCGCTGGTTGTCAAGGGTCAGTCTGCAGCTCACCTCTCCTCCCCTGGCTCCTTTTGGACTGTCATCGTCCTCGCATCTGAATCCCTTGAAAAAACAAGCGTCCTCTTCGGACGGAGAGACTGGCGTGCTTCCCTCGATCCGTTGCAAGCGTCTCTGTTTGAGAGAGAGACACACAGAATGGGTTCTTAGCGTCGTCGTTCTGGTGTCGCCGAGCGTCCCAGCCGTGGCCGCTCAGCAGCAGCAGTTGCAGCAGTCTGCGATCGTCTCACCGGCTGGCACGAGTGGTCTTGCGGTCCACCCGTAACAGCGTTTGGTATTTGGTCAAGGAGTTCTTGGCTGTTTGTATTATCTGGAGAAGGACATTAACATCTGCCGGCCGTACTTCGTCGTCGTCGTCGCTGATCTTCGCGTCGCAGCATCGCCTAGTATTGCTCCAGCAGCGTCGGTGATGCGGCTGTCGCCCTGTGTGTTTGCTGTCCCGTGCGCCGCGTGCCGCCGGTGACCGCTCCTCACTCTCTGACCCCTCCTCTCTCCGCGCCGCCAGTGCCACCCCAGGTGGCGCTGCTCGGCGTCGACTCGGTGCTGAACACGGGCGACGACGTCACCCTGACGTGCACGGCGTTCCGCGGCGACCTGCCGGTCCGGCTCTCCTGGACGGTGGACGGCCGGCCGGTGCCGACGGCTGACGGTCTGACCACGCTGGCCGCCGGCGCGCGCACCAGCCTGCTGCTGGTGTCCGCCGTCTCGCACGCCCACTCGGGCACGTACGCGTGCCGCGCGACCAACGCGGCGGGTAGCGGCGCCGCCTCCACCGAGCTCCTTGTCAGGGGTCAGTGGCGCCGCGCGCGCGCGTGGATCCCGCCGGGCCGCCCGTCGTCACGCCCGCCCAGCGGTCCCGGTCTGTCCTGCCGCCGCTCCGTCCCGTCTCCAGCGGCGTCATGCAGCAGCGTCGGCGAGCACGGCTGACGCTATGTCCAGACAGTTGTCACCGGGTTGGAAGAGCTGGGGAGCGGGAGGACCTGGCCTGGATCGGTTGTAGTAGTCTGGCTACTGACCGCCCATCTGGCCTGTTGCGCATTGCTGTTCTGCCTACTATTCTTACTAGCTTTTTTCTCACACCATCTGTAAGAGAGCCATGCCTAAGGGACGAGCACTGAGTGCCTCGTCTGATTTTTTTCGGGGTCGAGGATTGGTTCTCAGACGTCCCTTACCTGCATCACATTTTTGAAACCCTTTGTTTACGGAAGCCCCACTGCGCTCACCGTGTTTGTATTTGATGGCGTTGTACCTGGTGAGTCTCCGGCCGCCAGGTAAAGCCTGGCCACGCCCAAGACTACCACCGTTGTTCCAGGTGCCGTGTGGTAGCACACGCTATAGCTATAGGTACACCGTTCTCATCTACAACCAGATTCACTGTGTTGGAAAGGTGGTATGTGTTAGAGGCTGCAGCTTGGGACCCACAGTCAAGCTGTATGCACGTTACTTTATCGGCGGACTTATTGGCGCGGTGCAGCACGCCGGGCTGATGTCGACGGCTGCGGTCTGATGCTCCGCGCGTCAGGCTACGTCAGGTTGTGGTCCTGGAGGCCGGCTCCTTCTCTGCAGCGCTCGGTGTTAGCCCCTCTGGCCTGGGGGCACCCAGGCCGGACGGTGTGCCGCTGTGTCCGCCGGGACAGCGGAGGCTAGGAGCTAAACGGCTTCGCGAGGTCAGGCATGCGTTGTGCCGGTCTTGGGTCAGCTGGTTTGGTTAGGTCGTGTCGGGTCGGCTGCTGCCGTTTCCGATCTGTGATTGGTTAGCGTCCGCTTGTCATCGGGTTAGGTTTTTCGGCACGTTTAGTCAAAGGAGGCAAACCCATCCTCATCCTCATCTCTTACCCCTGCCGCCAACCCTCTCTCTCTCCCATAACATGCGGTGTATTAACAGCGCATGCTGCATGCTACTACCGACTGTTTATCCCACTTGTAATATATCAATTGCATTCACTAGAAATCGAGATATCATTGCATTCGTGCAATTTGCATTGCTTGCAGTGGGACAAACACGTTTACCGTCCACGTTTCCATCTGTGCTCATTCAGTCAGCTCGTCCAAAGTATCCAGAGCGTTGTTTGACTGTATGTTCAATAACAATTCGAGCACAGACTGACCTGGACGGTACTGCTGTCGTGTTACAGTTGTTTTACTTGAATAACCGTGGCCCAAGCTGCCACGCTATTATTGTAATGTCTTTAACGATGAGTTTTTGCATTTCCACAAAGCTGAACAGTTCTTCTTGTAATTGTACTGAATTTGCTATCAAACATCGCTAGCTACAAACTACTGCTCACATGACGAACGATGAGTTGCAGTAGCGTCTGTACTGTTTTGGAGTGGCTATGCCGATGCCCGTGTGCGCGTGCGTATGTGTTTGTAGCCGGCTGGCGTGACTTGCCCTGACCTGAGCCGCGCGGTCGCCAGTGCCCCCGCGCTGGATCATCGAGCCCACCGAGAAGGAGTTTGCTCTGGGCACCACGGCCGAGATTCAGTGCAAGGCGGACGGCTTCCCCAAGCCGCAGATGGTCTGGAAAAAGGCGGCCGGTGAGTGGGTGGTAGATGTGGCCCGCACCCCATACCCTACCGGCTGGCCGTCGGCGCTGGAGGACGGCTGGTCCAAGAGCGTCGTTACACGTACTGTCTGGCCGCTCGTTATTGCGTGTTCTCACGGAACGCGGATGATGTAGTCACCTATGTCAGCGTTAAGAGCTCCGCCGAAATGTTGGCTTTGGACACGTGTAGGCTGCTGGTAAGCAGTTGAACATCCAGCGTCCCACAGCCCGTCACACCGACGGCGATGTGCCGGGTTCATAGTGTTGTGGCCGTCCGACGGTGCCGTCGCGGCCAGTTGCCGGGTGGCGGGTTGGACCGAGAAGCCGCCGGTGCGCCGGACCGCTCGGCGGCGGCGTCGGCGTGCGCGTGACCCCGGCCGGTGTCTGCAGGCTCGCGACCGGAGGACTACCGCGACCTCGGCCAGTCGGACAGCAACATCCAGGTGCGCGACGACGGCACGCTGGTGATCAGCAGCATCCAGAAGCGCGACGAGGGCTACTACCTGTGCGAGGCCGACAATCAGATTGGGCCCACCCTCTCGGCCGTCATCTATGTCAACGTTCAGGGTGAGCGAGACGCGCCCGACGCCGGGCGGCCGCCGGCACACGCGAAGGGACGCGCCGCTGGGTGGCGGCCGCCGCCACCTGGGACCTTCCACGCGATCGCCGGGCGGGTGCCCTCTTGCGTTAGTCGGGCGTGGGGAGGTGTCTAGCTGCGATCGTGAACTGCCGCGGCTGTTCCGGGCAGCATACTGCTACGGCAGCTTGCTGTCCGCGGCCGCTGTATTGCACCGCAGTGTGACTGGGAGCCGGTTGCCCCACGCGTGTGGCGCGTGAGCTGCAGTACGATGTCGCCCCCTGTTTCCCGCAGCGCCGCCGCATTTCGAGATCAAGCTGCGCAACCAGACGGCGCGTCTGGGCGACTCGGCCGTGCTGGTGTGCGAGGCCAAGGGCGAGCGACCGATCAGCATCACCTGGAGCCGGGACGGCGTGCCGCTGAGCGCGCGCGAGCCGTCGCCGCGCTACACCATCCGGCAGCAGGCCACCGACGGCGGCGCCGGCTCCGACCTCAGCCTGCAGGAGACCAGCCGCCGCGACTCGGCCACCTACACCTGCCGCGCCTCCAACGCCTTCGGCACCGACAACACCACCATCAACCTGATCGTGCAGGGTGAGTGGCGGCGTGGCCGTGGTCGGCACGCCACGTCCGCTCGGTCGTGCGGTGCGGCAGTGCTACACCGCCGCGGGGCTGTACTGTGACAAGGCGGCTGGAACATTCGCGCGCTCATCCTTGTCCGGTGCCGGCCATGTACTCAATGTTGCCATGCGCAGAGATCGCGGTGTTGACACTCGGGTGTGACTTGCAGAGAAGCCGGAGGTGCCGTTCTCCATCAAGGTGCAGAACAAGTCGGGCCGCACGGTGGAGCTCTCTTGGACGGCCCCGTACGACGGCAACTCTGAGATCTCCCGCTACATCATCGAATACAAGCTGGCCAAAAGTACGGGGCGAGGCCTCAGACGCCGACGGACACCGTGGCCGCTTTTAGCGGTGTGAAAATGGCTGGGAATACGCTTACTTCAGTATGTTTCAGAGCCTTGCAGCTCATTCATTCAGATTCATTCAAAGCGTTCTGAAACAGGCTGCGTGGTTTTGACTGACAGCTGTCTAGAGCGCATAGTGGCGCGTGCTGCTGCCGCGTGGCTCGGCCGCCGGCAGCCGCTGGTGCTCTGACAGTCGCCCCGTCCGCAGACGAGTGGGACACCCGCAGCATGGAGCGCGTGCTGATCCCGGGCAAGATGCCGGTGGTGTCCGTGCAGGACCTGCGGCCGGCCACCACCTATCAGATGCGCATCATCGCTGAAAACGAGGTGAGGTCGGGGCCCGGGACAGACGCGGCGGCGGCGGCGGCGGCGCCAGGCAGCGCCCTCCGCCGGACGGTCGCGGAAGTGTGCAGTTTGGTGGAGTTAGCGGGGGCGCCGGCGGTCAAGGAGTCAGGCCCGGTCCGCTCAGTTTTTCAGAAGCGCGGTGATTGTTTGCCGCGTGTGGCCATGCGAAAACTGGATGGTTATGTAGACAAACCCGTTTTGTTGTTGGTGTAGATGTGGGGTTCAGCTTCCTGTAGTTGTGATTCAGTTTTTCATCGAATGGTTCATCCGCTCAAAAAATTTGCGCGATATATCTGGTGCAACATTGCTGCTGGCGTTTTCTTTTCAGTCAACTTTTGGACAAGCATAACGGAGCGTCGAAACCTTCATCTAGATGCTCCTCTCGCTCCCCCCCCCCCCCCCCCCCCTCCCTCTCCACGACCACCAACGCACGGCGCAAACTGACACTTGATCCATCTTTGGTTAGAACTAGCCCTTTGTGGAATGGCCCGATGCTTGCTGGAGCCGCCGTGTGGACCGCAGCGCAGTCGCAGCCGCGGCCGGGGCTGGCCAGCGGCGAGACGGCTGGTGCCATGCGTGCTGACTTGTGTGCCGGCGGCGGCGGCAGGTGGGCACGTCCGAGCCCTCCGAGCTGGTGACCATCATGACGTCAGAGGAGGCTCCGGCCGGCCCGCCACGGACGTGGTGGTAGCCCCGCTCGACCGCGGTCTGCTGGTCACCTGGAAACAGCCCGAACAGCACCTGCTGAACGGCGAGGTCACGGTCAGTGTCAGCGGGGTGACGGACGAGGTCAGGGCCGAAGTCGGGGTGACGGCAGAGGTCAAGGTCGGTCAGAGGTGGCGGTCGAGATCAGGGCCGGCCATGGGTGACGGCCGAGTCAGGCTCAGTGTCAGTGGGGTGACGGCAGAGGTCAGGGCCGAAGTCAGGGTGACGGCAGAGATCAGGGTCGGCCAGAGGTGGCGGTCGAGATCAGGACTGGCCATGGGTGACGGCCGGGTCAGGGTCAGTCAGGGGGGGGGGTGACGGACGAGGTCAGGGCCGATCTTGGGTGACGGCCTAGGTAAGGGCCGTTCAGGGGTGACGAGAAGACGCCTGAGAGGAGCGCTCCAGGAGTGCAGGTCTACTCATGGGGGCTGACTCGGGTGTGCTCTGGAGGGGATGCTGAGTTCGGCCGTCTCCGGGACCGGCGAGGCGGCGATGAACGGGCCCTGTCCACCGGCCAGCCCGCCCGAGGCTGGCGAGGTCATCCTCTATGACTCACCCCGCCCGCCTCCTCCTCCTCAGGGCTACTACGTGGGTCACCGGCTGGCCGACAGCGACGACAGCTTGTCCTTCCAGACGTTCGAGTTCACCAGCGAGGCCAGCCGCAAACACGAAATCCGCATCACTAAACTCGAGTACGTGTCGTCGCGTGGTGCATTCCCCCTCCTCCCCCCCCCCCCCTTCACGGTTCCACCCCCTGCCGTGTGATGAGGCACCACACTGCTGCCTGGCTGTCTGTGTATGCACACGCGTCCCCCCTCCGCCTCCCTCCTTCTCGCGCATCCTTTCGCTCGTGGTGAGCCACGCGCTGCTTCGTTCTCACACACCAGCTGCGCAGCTGGCCGGCACCAGTCGCCCTCTCGAGCATCCCAGTCTTGACAAGGCTGGCTACAGTTTATCGTGGATCAGACCACCGGCCGCTCGGTGTGACTGGCCGCCCCACCCTGTGACGCGACGCCGTACGCCGTTGAAGCTGGTCTTCTCCACGGCTGGCCGACGCTAACCTCGCTCCCGCCTGCGCAGGGAGTTCCGCGAGTACGCGGTGGTGGTGCAGGCGTTCAACGGCCAGGGCTCGGGACCCCAGTCGGGCGAGGTGCGCCAGTTCACGGCCGAGGGGCGCGCCCTCGGAGCCGCCTCAGGCCATCACCTGCCGCACACTCACCTCCGACTCGATCCGCGCCAGCTGGACGCCGCCGCCGGCCGACTCCACCAACGGCATCGTGGCGGGCTACAAGGTCATGTACGGCCCCAGCAGCACCTGGTACGGTGAGTGCTGGCCGGTGGCTCGCAGCGGCCCCGCCCAGGCAGCGGGGGCGCGCGGCGTCCACAGGTCTCTTCGTGTCGCAGGTACCTCAGTGGGATGGTACCTCAGCGTCAGCAGGTACCTCAGTGTCAGTGGGATGCCTGGGCAGCAGTGTTCACGGCTCGTCGTGTTGCGTCGCGCCGCCGAACAAGCGACGTACGCGCTGCGCTGTGCGGTCTGGGATCGGGCGGTAATGGTCGGGGGTCCCCGGTGTGTGCCCGCCCCAGCGAGCGCGGCTGGCCGGGCGCGGCGTGACGGCACCGTCGGCTCCTTCGGCAGACGACAGCACGATTGACATGGCCAAGTCGACGTCGACCGAGGCGCTGCTCACTGGTCTGCGCAAGTTCACCGAGTACAACATCACCGTGCTGGCGTACACGGGCGGCGGCGACGGGCCCCGTAGCCGCTCCGCCATCTGCCGCACCGAGGAAGACGGTAGGCGCCGCCCGGCCCCCGCGCGGCACGCGCCGCTCGGCCGGTCACACGCGCACGTGGCGGCGAGGCGGAGGGGAGGACGCGGCCCCTCGCCGAGCCGGATACGAGGCGCGAGTTTGCTGGAACCTGACCCGGAGTGGGAAAGGTTTAGCTTTTATTGCACACACGTGTCTGTTGTAGGTGCGGTGGTGTCTACAGTTGTGGTTTATGGCGTGACCTGTTGTGTGCTGCCGTGTCAGAGTATGCCGTGCTCTTTCGCCCAGTTCCTAGTATGATTGTGTGTTGGGGCAGCGTTTGGGAGTCGTATATGGTTCATGACCTCCCCATGGTGCCGCGGTGGCTCAGTGTCCCGCGTGTGACCTCCCCGGGGTGCCGCGGTGGCTCAGTGTCCCGCCTGTGACCTCCCCATGGTGCCGCGGCGACTCAGTGTCCCGCGTGTGACCTCCCCATGGTGCCGCGGCGACTCAGTGTCTCGCTTGTGACCTCCCGTGGTGCCACAGTGCCCGAGCCGCCGGCGGACATCAAGGCGCTGCCCATGTCGCCCGACAGCATTCTCGTCAGCTGGCGCGAGCCGGCCCAGCCCAACGGCGTCATCAAGCGCTACACTGTCTACTTCAAGGAGGAGGGCAGCCGAGAGGTGCGGCACTGGCGCAGGGCGCCGGCCGCGCAGGCCGGAGGCGGCACCTGCTGGCCCGCTGGCCCGTGGCCTGTGCCCGCCGCTGCTGCTGTGAAGGCCTCTGGGTGGATGTGCGAGGGCTGGTCCTTGCGATGTGGTCATTGGACCCGTCTGCTTGGAACCTTGTGGAAGCTTGTTTAGCGCAGTGGCCAGAGGTTTTCAGGCGCATGTGTGGTCGTCCCGGGAGACCCGTCGCCGGGGCGGGAGCACCGCCTCCCTCCCACCGGTGCAGGGGAGACGGTCCGGCGGAGCGGCTCCTCGTCTCAGGCTCCTGACGCTGTCTTCTCGTCCGCAGCCCCAGATGCACCGCGTGACGCCCTTCCAGCTGTCCTACCGCGCCAGCGGCCTCAAGAAGACGCAGAAGTACCAGTTCTGGGTGAAGGCAGAGACGAGCATGGGCGAGGGCGACGCGTCCCAGATGGTCACCGTCACGCCGCGTAACCAGGGTGGGTGGCAGCCGCGCTGCTCACGCAGGCCGGTGCCGGCGGCCTGACATACCGCGGGACTGGCCCGCTGCGCCGACCTCGCGGCTCCGGCGACCGTACCGACGCCGGCCAGCGGCTCGGCCGTCGTGTTGTGGCGGACGTGGCGTTCGAGCCACACGCTCAGACCGCCGTCGTCCGGCGGACAGCCCGGACGCGTTCTGTGCCGCCGCGCGCCGACGGAGGTCCTGTCACTGCGGCCGCTGTCACGTTCAGCGCCTCCAGCGGTCCCCTGCGGACGGACGCCGTCCGGGGGCTGGAGGCCGGCGACCCTGCGCTGACTTAGGCGGTGTGCTTGCAGTTCCGGCGAGGATCGCGTCCTTCGACGACGAGCACGTGGTGAACTTCCAGCATGACGCCAAGCTGCCGTGCCAGGCGGTGGGCTTCCCGCAGCCCACCATCACCTGGCAGGTGGACGGCAAGCCGTTCAAGTCCAACGAGCGCATGCGCATCCTGCCAGAGGTACGTGGTCGGAACGGCACCCGGTCCGAGGTACGCGATCGCCGCCGCAGACTGCCCGAGGTATGTGGCCTCCGCCGGCGACGCGTCTTGCAGCGGTGACGACGTCCGCTCGCACCGGCGGGTCGCCTGTCCAGGTCCGCGGACGCCCTCGGACGTGAACATGAGCGCGGACCGCGCCTGCTGGCCGGCACGGGGTGGCGTTGACAGCACGGGTTCGGTGGACGTGAGCTGCGCGGATGCGTGGCGAGCCGTCTCGGTGCTGATTGGCGTCCCCGTCTGTGGCGGCAGGGCTCCCTGCAGATCCGCAGTGTGGAGCGCAGCGACCGCGGCGAGTACTCGTGCATCGCCAAGAACCAGTTCGGCCAGGACACCGTCTCCACCGGCTCATCGTGCAGGGGTGAGTGGGGGCTCGGACGCGCGGGACCCGGGCAGGGGGACGGCGCCGCGTCGGCCGGTGTGACGCTGCGCGGGGTGTTCTGCAGGGCCCTGGTTTTAGCGCTCGATGCAGTGAATCGAGGCTAGCTGGTCGACAGCAACTGGTGGATGGCGGGTGGTGGGGATGGGTTGGTGATTTGATACGCAATTCACGAAGTGAAGGGTGGATTGAACAAGAAGCGTTGGATTGGTTATTTCAAGGGTGACATGCCACAGAAGGAGCAGAAGACAGGGTACCCGGTGTCTCCATTGCCTCCGGGGCTGCGCGGTGTCGTGTGACGTCGACACGCGCTCCCCACCGTCTCCGCCGTCTGTCGTGTCGTGCTGGCGTGTGGCGGTGCTGAGTGTGAGCTGGTTGTGAGCGCCGGCGAGCTCGCTGTGGGCGCCGGCGATGGCCGTGACTGGGCGCGCCCTGGCCCGCAGCGCCGCCCCACCCGCCCGAGGTGCTGCTCATCGGCTCCTCCAACAACTCGATCGAGGTGCGCCTCAAGCCGCGCGAGCACGTGTCGGTGCCGTTGTACGGCTTCACGTTGCACTACAAGGCGGCGTTCGACGACTGGAAGACTGTCCAAGTGGCCAAGAAGGTGAGCGGCCGCTGGGCGGGCTGAGGAGGGTACCGATCCAGCTGCAACGATTGCCACACCCGTGACGTTCATCCGGCTGTTTGGCTACGAAACTTGAGTTTGATGCGATCATGACGTTGCCGTGTCGAAGGTATTCAGAGTTGATAACTTTGGTATACGCGCGGCCGTCCCACCAGCCGTCATCGGCTATTGTCCACTGCTCGGAGGGCGGACCATATGTTTTCCCGGATAGCGTTATGGCGAGCAGGCTTGAGAAGCGTGACGTCACGGGTGTCGCGTCCGCCGGGCAGGCATGAGCTGCACGATACTGTCCATGTCGCCGTGGCTTGTTCATCTGTGCCGCCTGCGTCTTCAGGCCCGCGCCTTCACTCTGGAGAACCTGTGGTGCGGAACAAAGCACCAGATCTACGCCACCGCGTTCAACGGGTGAGTACGCTGGCGCGAGAGCCACGCCCTGACATCACGCGTCTGTGTGTTCGACCCGCCTCCGTGGGTGCCCGAGCGCCGAGTTCAGACCATGCTCCGCTCGTTCTGCCGTCGCCCTGCGCTGCACTGCCCCATCAGCCGTCTCCTGATGACGCTGCGCTGCGCCGGCCTGACGTGTTCCTGCGGCGTGCGCAGGGTCGGCCCCGGCGAGCAGTCTGCCATCCTGACCACCCGCACCAAGGGCCAGGCGCCCACGCTGCCGGCCGCCGACCGGTTCATGCGCGTGCTGGCGCGCAGTGTCGAGCTGCACCTTAAGACCTGGGAGAACGGCGGCTGCCCCATCCTCTACTTCGTGGTGGAGCACAAGAAGCGGTGAGTGGCGCGCGCCGCCGGACACGCCGGCCCGGCAGGCCGCGGAGGCCCCACGGTCTTGACAAGCGAACCCTCAGCCTGTGTGTGCGACTGTCCAGAGACAGGGAGGCAGGAGGGTGTGGGTGACTGGCGGTGACAGGGCTGCTCGTGCACTTCATGGCGCTCATCACGGTTATATTCTTTCTTGGGGGTCCAATTATTTCCGGTTAAAATGGTTGTTAGGCAAAGTTATCTCTGACAGCATGTCGAAATGTTCGGCCAGCCTGTGAAAGGTTTCCTAGTGGATGCTGCTCTCCACTAATATTTGAGATTGTCTCGTGCCTAAACGCCGGTTGCAGTTTTGTTGAGGACGTTACGCGGTCGAAAAAAACACGCCGGCTTTATTTCAAACGTCTGTGGTTTCTTGATATGTTTCCCCGAGAGAGCGCGTGCCGGTGCAGACAACAGCGCCGTCGCGACTCGGCTGCACCGGCCGAGTCCGTGTGTCGGACGCCCTCTATCTCGCTGCTGCCGTCTGCCCGCGCAGCTTCGAGACGGAGTGGACGACCGTGTCCAACACGCTGAAGCCCCAGGGCAGCCTCACGGTGCTGGACCTGGAGCCGGCCACGTGGTACGACCTGCGCGTGACAGCGCACAACAACGCCGGCTCCACGCCCGCCGAGTACCTGTTCGCCACGCTCGACGAGGAGGGAGGTGGGTGACGCGGCCACCTCCCGCCGTCGCGCGCGCAGTGTGACTCGTCCCGCATCGGTTTTGAACGCACGATGTGTGCTTTTGTTTGCGCAGCCTCGTGATATTGGCACATGTCGTTGTGAAGCTTGCCTGCCTTTTCGTAGATAGGGAACAATAGCAGAAGCTTCTGCTATTGTTTCGATAAGGGCATATTGCCGAAACATCGACCCTTCTATATTTTCATTCTCCTGGTTTTTCTCCGAGGAGTAAGGCTATTACTACCGTCTTAACCATGCGAATAATGTTCCTCGCAAGGCACTGAACAGTTAACTGCCCGCCTTTCCGTTGTTTTGTCTGTGTCATCGCTTTACTGATCGTGTGATCCCCACGCTTTATACTTGTGTCCACCGGCCGCCTACTGCCAGCTGAAGTAGTTGCCTGTGCACGTGGTAATGTTTCCGCAGCACCCCGAGCACAGCGATGGCGGCCCTGCATGCCCTGAAAGACGCGGGGGACTTGCCGTTCGCCACCAGGAGGCCGATTGCTGATCCGTGTCGCGCGCATTGTCTCCCTGGTGTGTGTGGCACCCCCAGCTGACGTGGAGGGGAGGGTTTCCCGTCTGGTGGAGCATATGTGCCGACGGTGGCAGCACATAACCGTGTGACTCGCGGCTATCGAGAGCTGTCCGGTAGGCGAGAAGTGCAGTGCGGTGCCGTATCGGTGCAGACATCGCGTCGGTCGGGTGGCCGGCGTCTGTACGTCATCGGCGGGACCGGAACCGCTGCGTCCCGCCGGCAGCCGGGGAGGCGGTCGGGGAGCGCGCACCCCTGGCTGTCGCTCCGATACGTCTGTGGCCCTCACCGCAGCGACGCCTCACTCGCCGGTCGCTGTAGGGTGCGCAAGCACCGCAGTGTGTGGCCTCGCACCGTTACTTCCTCGTCATATTCTGGCGTCCCACATGCGTCGGGCGCCTGGCAGCTGTGGGCGGCTGGATGGCGTGGCGGCGTACCTTCGCAAGTGGTCCGGTGCGTGTGTACGTGTCAGAGCCGAGCCGAGCCGGCCGTCCCCGCTCCACAGCAGCCGCGCCGGGCCGCGCCGCAGCGGCGGCCGCTGATGCTGCGCACGCCCGCGTCCGCAGGCACCGTGGGGCCGCCGCGGCGCGCCGACGACGACACCGTGCACACCGGCGCCGTGCCCTTCTTCGCCAACCCGAACGTGGCGGTGCCGATCGCGGTGGCGGCCGGCGTGGTGGTGCTGGGAGCGGTGGCCGTGGTCTGCCTGCGGCACCGCTCGGCGCCCAGCCGCGGCAAGGGTGAGTGACCGGCGGCGTGTGACCGTGTGCCGCGCAGGGACCGTCGGGCCGCCGCTGGTGCGCGCCGCCGACGCCGACTGGTGGGACCGGATGCCCGGCTGGATGCCCGACCTCAACATACTCGTGCCGGCCGCCTGCGGCCTGGTGGTGCTGCTCGTCGGACTCTGCGTGCTTTGCGTCTACCTGAGCTCACGGCAGCGCGGCGGTGCGCAGCGCTTCAAAGGTAGCCGGCGGCCCGGGCGGCGCCGGCGCCGCTGGACGGCCGGGCGCCGCCCGCGCTCTCGGCTGGACGGGCGCCGGTGCCAGCCTGCGTGTGTCTGCGGCTGGCGGCCGCTGCTGACCCCGTGCCGGTGACGTATGGCGGGCGGGCGGATCGTGGTCGGGATGAGTTGCAATGGGGTGGGCATGGCTGGGTCGGGATCAGTTGCAATGGAGTGGGGATGGCCGGGTCGTTGTCACCAGACTTGCTCTGCTGGTAGAGTTGTGCCGTGTGTGTGTGTGTGTGTGTGTGTGTGTGTGTGTGTGTGTGTGTGTGTGTGTGTGTGTGTGTGTGTGTGTGTGTGTGTGTGTGTGTGTGTGTGTGTATGTGTGTGTGTGTGTGTGTGTGTGTGTGTGTGTGTGTGTGTGTGTGGTGTGTGTGTGTGTGCGTGCGTGCGTGCGTGCGTGCGTGCGTGCGTGCGTGCGTGCGTGCGTGCGTGCGTGCGTGCGTGCGTGCGTGCGTGCGTGCGTGCGTGCGTGCGTGCGTGCGTGCGTGCGTGCGTGCGTGCGTGCCTGTGTGGTGCGTGTGTTGGGCCACCGAGTTACGAGGCGCCGCCGCTGACAGCTGGCGCCGGCGGCTGTCCACAGACGACACCCAGTACACCGGCCCGCCGCCGTACCCGAACCGGCTCTACAACGAGGAGCTCGGCTACATCGCTCCCCCGAACCGCAAGCTGCCGCCCATCCCCGGCTCCAACTACAGCACCCTCGGCTCGCAGGTCAAGCGCATGCCCGGAGGTGAGTGTCCCAGCGGCGCCGCCGCCGCCGCCGCCGCCCGCAGCCTTGCGCTCTTCCTCTGCGCTGCCGTGACGTCTGCCTGAGCAGTGTGCAGGTGTCATTGGCGTCTGCTTCCGCCGTTTTTTATATTTGGCGCCGGCTGGTCCCCGTCGATTTTAGACGTTTCTGACGGGTCGGACTTGGCTTCTGGCAGGGCTGAGCATAACAGCGTAATCAGACTGGTACATGCCTCCCTGAATTAAAGCCGCCTATCACTGTCAGTCCTCATAAGTATGTGACGTTTCGCCATGACCTGCAAAGTTGCACGGCCTTCCCCCAAGGTTGACTGATGCCGATAATTACTGCATGGACCTGATGGCCATTGTATAGAAGGCTCTCGGCCAGGTGATTTTAGACGTTCTAAACCGTTTTGCCACTCCGGCACTTCGCATGCGATTTTTTCGCTTGGTGTGTTCGGTGGCGCGGGTGCTGTCGCTCCCGCGGTGTGAGTGCGAGAGCTTCGGAACGGATGGCCGGCCAGAGCCGGACGTAGTCGGCCGTCTGCTGGCGCGCCCGCCCGCCGGCGAGCACCCGTCCCCAGCCGTGGCGCCGTGCGCTTGTGTCGTGTGGCCGTTTGTTCGCCTCCTGTGTTGGCCCGCCGTCGCCGCGCCTAGTGCGGCCGTAGCTCGAGGCGCGCCGGCGCCGGTCAGCCGCCGCCCCTCCCCTCCGAGTGAGAGAGCACGTGTGTGTGTGTGTGACAGGAGCAATGAGCGTCTACGGCCCGAGCAACCCGCGCCACCAGTATGAGGAGCTTAGCCAGCAGCAGTACCAGGCGGCGTACGGCGCGCCGCCGCCGCCGCCCCACGGAGTCCCCACCAGCCCCAGCACGTACTACAGCGGTAAGACTGGCGCCGCCGCGGGCTGGAGAGCGAGGGCGAGCGCGCTGACGGTGGGGGCGTGACGATGACTGGGATGGGCGGGCTGGCGGTGCGGGGCGGCGCCGCCTCGGCCGGCTGGTGACGCTGTCGACCGCCGCCCCTGTGCCGCAGTGGTGGGACCGAACGGCGAGGAGGAGATCGCCCCGTACGCCACCTTCCACCTGCTGGGCTTCCGTGAGGAGATGGACCCGTCCGGGCCGGAGCAGCCGCCGGCCGGCTTCCAGACGATGGCCGCCCGTCCGGCGCAGCAGGGCCAGCCGGGCCGGCAGCAGGGCCCGCAGGTCCGCACTCTGGTCAGTACCGCTGCCGGCGCCCGGCTCAACACTCAGCCAGCGGGACGGCTGCTCTCCTCCGTCTGGGCTGGTCCGAGGAGCCCTAGGTGTGGTCTTGGTGGGCTCCTTTCATTTTGGGCATTTGGGCCGTACGCGTTCGTGTGGTGATGTTTTTTATTAATTTATTTTTACGCCTGGCTTGGCAAGGCCGATCGCAGAATTGTTTGTTGGAAATTGTTAATACCAAGGTAATACTTGCGGCAGTCCGCGAGGTTGCGTCTGTTCACGTGTCCATTCGAGTTGTGTCGTGTCATGTGTGCAGTGAGTTCACCAGAGCCTGGTCGTCTCCATCCCGTGCCGAGGCGCCTCACCGAAGGCTGTAACGTGTCGCCGTGCGCTAGAGCGCCGTTGCCTGTTCATCATCGCCGCGGTCGTGTCTGCTCGATGCGGCCCGGGGTCATCATGCACGGTCCGTGGGACGGACGTGCGCGCACGGCCGGCGCTGCCTGACCTAAGCCGTCCGGCCGGCAGCCCCGCAACACGCGCTACAGCCAGCCGGTGAACCCGTTCCCGCCGCCGGCGCACATGCAGCGCAGCTCGCTGGGCGGCGCCGCCTCCATGTTCTCGCCCACCTACGACGACCCGGCGCGCTCCGACGACGAGGCCAACTACAACGGCAGCCAGTACAGCGGCGGCGGCCCGTACGCCGCGCTCGACGACACTTCTAGCCGCACGGGCACCGCCCGGCGCAACGGTGAGCGCGCGCCGGCGACGGCTCCGCGGCATGGCGGCCCCTCGGCCGCGTCTCTAGTGCACGTCGGCCGGGCGGTGCCGTCGGCGGCAACCGGCGCGCGGCGCTGCCTGCCTCCGGCACACGGCCGGCCGCAGGCTCCTTATACGTGTTCTCGTGCATATGGTTCATGATCTTCGTATGTTGATTGTGGAATAGAAGGTGAGCTGTCGCCTTAATCCGGAGGTGCGGCCGGGCGTACTGAGAGCGCGCTGCCAAACACGGTTTTCCGCGTTGTCCATAAGAGGCTGTACATGCGCTCTGGCTCTGGGCTGGACGCCTGTCTCCGGATAAAGCTGCCAGTCAGAACTGTTTATGCATGCTGTACGGATATGCGTATATTTCTCTGTACATTCGCACCTAGCTGCCTTGCACAGAGCGTATCTGCATCGGCGTCAGTTACGTTCAATTTACACCGGATGCGTCCGACATGTACGTACGCAGGCGCATGCGCCAGAGGACGCAATACTACGGCATGCGTAAAATGGCCCCTTGGAACGCGGTGCTGGCATAAATTAAATCACTGAGCTCCTATTCCTCATCTTCGAGCTCGGACGCTGCTGTGTCATGTTAGGCATGCAATCGCGTCAGTTGGCGCCACGTGATGCGTACTAGCGTCGGACGCATCCGTGGTGGGTTGGCTCGTAGTCTGTTCGTACCCTGCGGCTGGGCGCGGCGCGGCGCGCTGCTGCTGCCTGCGGCCGTGCAGTGAAGGCTTGTGTCTGCCCGGTGAAGGGACGGACGGCGGCTGGCCCGACTGCGGCTCTCTGCCGCCTCCGCCGCCGTCCCTGCTGGACCAGGAGGAGCCGCTGCCGCCGCCGCCGCCGCCGCGCGCCTCCCTGGACGACTCCAACACCTCGCAGCAGACCGACACGTCGGCCATGGAGTGTGACCGCGACCACGCCATCCTGGCAGGTACCTGGCCACCGCATGTCGCCGCGAGCCGCCGCCCATTCCGCCTGCACGCATCGTCCGCTGATGACTGTCGTATGCTCTGCCGGTGTGTTCGACCCCGCTCTCCATGCCCGTCTGTGAGCAGCTAGCTGGGACGGTGCGGGCCCGCGCATCTGTGTCTGATGCGGCGCTCTGTTGAAAGCGCCGGTGTGGAGTGCAGGTGTGCTGTTGTGTTGTGTGCGTTTCGATGTTCTCATCACGGGCCGCCGTCGGTGGTCGGCGCGTGCCCGGCGGCCGCCGGCTGGCGAGGAGCCGGGCCGCGCGGTGCCCTGCCCCCGCCGCCGGCCGGTGCAGGGCGCTGACGAAGCGCCCCGGCTCCGTGTTGCAGACAGCCCGCAGTTTGGAAAGGACGGCAGACCGGCGGACGAGACCCGCAAACTTCTGGACAGGTACGCCGCCTCACACTGCTGTGAAGTCGGGATGGACGTCCGCATTCTCACAAAATAGATAGCTTGTGTCGCTATATCTTATGAATTTGGGATGAAGTGTGTTTCAGTGTACGATAGGAGTAAAGCGAACATTGCGAAGGCCCAGGAGCCTGAGAGAGATACAAACACTCCACCCGCGGCCGCCACGGACGCTACGCCACGAAGCCCGCGTCGCACAGGCTTGTCGCGACGTCCACCGACCATGAATCTCACCTGGAAACAGGGGGTACTCTCATGGGCTGAAAACGCCAGCTTAATGCGTTTTGATGGCATCAAGTTGTCGATACCCAGCTAGCAGTCGAACTGACACGTCAGGCGCTGGATATATGTTGTCACCTAATACGCAGATGAGCCCGCATCTTTCCGGCGGTGCTCCTGCTGAAAACAAAATGCTGCAGCGCTGCTGTGGACGTCCTGTGTGGCGAGCGGTCTCCTCGACGCTACTCTGCATAACGATCTTATCCGACTAGCTCCATTGCCAGTAAATGGAGGGAACCCCTACAGAACACTACATAATTCGTGTGACTGCGACGCACCATTTGGGTCGCAGCGATGATCTCATTTTTCTCGGAGGGACACAAAGAGCACGCCTGCCCCATTCCTGCGCGCGCTAACCCCCCGCTGGCGCTGCCCCGTCCGGCGGCTGAAACTCTAACGGGTCCGTTTCCGCGCCGCCCCAGCGACAAGGAGCAGTAAGTGTGGCGCGTCGACCCCGCTCTCACGTTAGTACGGTCCACGTGTCTTGCCTGCGGACGGCGCCCACCCCCGCGCCGTCGCCTGTGGCGCTCCTCTAGATGTGGTTGGGGGGGGGGGGGTGAAGTTGGCGCCCCTCCGGTGTCATTCGGCCCTGTCTGGACGGCCGGCCGATCGGGCCCGAGGCTGGTCCGGCCGCCGGGCTCTCGGGCCTGAGGCTGGTCCGGCCACCGGTCGCTCTGGTCCGAGGCTGGTCCAGTCGCCGGCCGCTCCGGCCCGAGGCTGGTCCGGCCGCCGGCCGCTCGGCCACCGGCTCCAGGATCGGCGCACCTGCACGCTCGTCGTGTCGAGCTGCTTGCCGGCATGCCAGTCTGTACAGCACTGGCCCAGCACCGGTGTCACGCACACCCACTGGGGGCGACGGATCGGGCCCGTTGGGCGCGATGGTCGTGCGCCCCGTGTGGTTTTGCACGCACCAGTGGGCCGGGTTCGTTCCCCTGGAATGCACTATGGTGCCCCCGGCTGCACGTGGAAGGCATGGGTGCGGTGTTTTATCACCTAGATGTGTATGGTGATGCCGGCTCTGTAGTTTCAGACCTTTTGACAGCTCACTTTCAACTGGACAAATGACCCGTTATGTGCGTTGTACTTGACGTGATCCGCAAGGCTGCACCTTGCGGATCACGTCGCAGTCACCTCGTAGACTGACCTGTGCACCTTGCTTACCTGTCCCGTCAGGCAGCACTGTAAGCGCGCGGGATCCGTGTTGTGGGTGGCCTCGCCACTGCGATGCACTGCAGCCAGTCCTGAAGGACCTCTATGACCTCAGATTCTTCTGAATATGAACACGTTCTGTCGATTCGTGTAGCCTTTCTATAGACTTGAGTTGTGATGTGCACATGTCGATCTTTGTGTGCTTTCCGTATGAGGTCATCGATTTCGACGTCCGTTTCTCGGTGGTGGCTGTGCATGTTATTTGTTGACATTTTTGTAGCGTCGCACGCGAGCAGGTAGCGCTTTAATGTGCTCATGTTCACTTCACCTTCCTAGTTAAACAGTATGAGGGCGGTCGTCTTTCCCCAGTCAGGGGCACGACACAGTGCCAAGACACGACGCCTGGGGTCTGTCCTTGTGTCACCAAATTGCATTCAGAGCAACTCGGCTGAGATCGTTGGCCGCCTGACGGGGCCGGTGTGTTCCGTTCGTGCGCCGCTGCCGGGATCGGCCGGGCCATCGGGCCGGCCTCGTCGCGCCCCACGCGGCGTCACGGTCAGCCGCGGACGGCGGCCGTCTGGAGGCGGTCGTGTTTCGCCTGCCGCTCGTGATGGGGCGGGGAGTGGACGGCCACCGTGCCGGCGTCGGACACCGACTGTCGGCGCCAGACACCGACTGTTGGCGCCGGACGCGGACCGTCCATGGCGACGCCTTGCGACGGCCGTGCCGCTCTGCTGGTGGCCGTTTCGTAGTGCCGCTGCACGTGGGCCGCGTGTCGCGGTTGTCTGGCGTTCCCGTGCTCCGGATGTCAGGCGTCCCTGTGTCCCGGTTATCTGGCACCCCGTGTCCCGTTTGTCTTATCTCCGCGTTTGTTGCCTGACGTGACCGCTCTCAGGTCGTCCCGCTCGTCTGACGTCCGTCCGTCCCGTCCCAGGAACGAGGCCCGCCGGCCGCACGTGACCGCGCAGAATGGCCTGGTGCCGTACGACACGGTGAACGTGTGAGCGGCGCGACCCGGCCCGCGGCCGTTTCAGCTCGCCCAGCGCTCGGCCCGCGCCCTCCCGCCGGGCCGACGCAGCCCCGTGCCATGGCGCGGCCCGCCGGCCGCCGGCCGCGCCCTGCCCCGCTCTGCCCCGCCCCGCCCCACCCCGCTTCTGTGGCGTGCGCCGCCCGCTTGGGCCCGCTCATTGGTAGGTAGTGCCGCCGCCGCCGCCGCCGCCGTCGCCGCCGTTGCTCGGTGTTTGCCTAGATGTTCCGCTTCTCGACGTGTGTGTCTAAGTCAGTGTAGCGTGATAGGAAGCCGCGCTGCCGCCGTCGCGCGCGCGCCAGGACAGGAGCGCGCCTCGGGCGCTGCGCGTAGTCGGTTTTGTACATGTACTCGGCGTGTCAGGGGCGAAAGGCGTGCCGGTCGGAGGCCGCCCGCCGGCCGCGGGTCCCGGCGCTCGCTGGCCGCAAGACCAGTGCTCGCTTTCTTTTTATGAACGAACCCCGTTGTGATACTTTGGTTTAGTTGTGAGGCGCGCAGACCGAGCGGCATTGCTGCAGCGGGATGGGAGTGAGCGGCGGGCATCCTGATGTGGATGGATCGGGGCTACCTAGTCGTTTACGGAGCGTGTGCTGTCAGCGAATGGATGGGGGTTAAGGTCCCGCTCAGGGGAGTAGGTGGGGAGGCAGGTATTGTACGCGGAGGTGACGTTCCGTTCTCCATCAGGCGCCGTGGTGTGGTGCGACCCCTTGGGGCTCGCTGGCTCCGTACTGAGTCTCAAGTCGATTACGTACTTAAATTTCGAGAAAACCTTCCAATTTCTTCCATGTTACTGCTCAAAAGGACGTTTTCGAGTGATTAATGGGGACCGCAGAGGATGGCTTTGATTGGTGCTTTTCTGTTGTAGTATTGGCATGGCGCCGCCGGCTTCTGCGGAGTACTCGTGACCGTGTGTTGTGGCCTGCGCCGCGGTTTTGCTGACTAATGCTGCCGGGGCGGTTGATGTTGCCGCTGTGTACAGTGTTTGACTGCAACGATCCATCGATAATCCTATGTATTTACACTAACGAGTTTAACTACTTTATGTTTCCGTTGTAGTCGCCATGTGCCAATTTTATTTGCCGCGCTATGATTGGCGACCAGCACACTCCGTGCTCTCTGGATCTAACATGCGGCCCGCAATGGGCCGCCCGGCTTCTGCTAGGGAAGTGACATTTTAACCGCTATACTGTTTAGCTGCCCTCGTTCTGACGAACGAGCTTTTGTGCTTCAATAAATATTGTCCTCTGGCATTGTGCGTGTGTGGTGGAGCGGCGTTCGCCTGGCTTCACGTCTCCAGTGAAGGCTCAGGCTCGGCAACGACGCGAGAGAAGGAGCAAAGACAAAGAGACAAGCTCAAGTGCTCAAATGTTGGCCGGCGCTGGCCTGTTAGAATGACACGGCGAAACACTGCGCCGGAGGCGCATACACGGCTGGCAAGTGGTGCGAGCGCAACTGCTCTCAACATCTCACGGCGCCGGAGAGCGAGCCGGCCGGAGCGGGCGGCGGCCGTGGAGCGCGCGGTCACCGCCCGCCAGACACCCGGCGCTCGCTGATGAATGAGGATGGTTTGGCAGACTGCGCTCCTCCAGACGTCACTGGTTGGCTCTGCCCGGGCCAGTGACGGGCCCGTGAGGAGCGCACACACGTGGTCACGTATACGCCGCGCAGACACACGCACGTCCATATTTGCACCATGTCTTAGGAACAAGCGAATTATGTGTACAATTAAATCACAATGAGCAATGCATGACAAGTTACGAATGATTCCGGGAGTGTTAGTGCTGGACGCTGGCTGCCCATAACAGTAAGAGGCTCGGGGACGAACAGCGAAGCGGCCGACTGACACACGTCAACCGCTCTCTTGCCCGCGGGTGACTGTCAGCGTTGAGTGGGTGGTGTGTTGTCGGGCTGCGAAGGGGTGGGGAGCTCGCAACTTTTGTAGCGTTTGAGAAATAGTGATGGCTGGTTACGAAGCGTCGTTTAAGTTCATGTGTGGCTACATTTTAAGATGACTGAGCAAAAACAAGCAAGGTAGCTGCGTGCAGCGTGAAATTCGACCCACGAACAAAAACGTGACGTTCGCAGTCCTGTGCGAATGTTCAGTTACAGCATGCAAACTGAGGGGGGGGGGGGATGTGAGCCAGACCCACGTTTCTGAGTCAGAGGGCGTGATCGCAGCGACGGCTCATGCGGCAGTATCTCATACTTCGCCGAGCCGGCCGGCGCCCACGGGCTATCTTTGTGCACGACAAGGGACAGACGCGACCCGGCCAGAGTGGCCCCGGCCGGCGGCAGCTGTCGCTGACGCGTCGCGAATGTGTGACCGGGCTGTTCGCTGTCCGCCCCCGGGCGGGCCGGACCTGGCCGGCGCTCTGGAGCGGGCGGGCCGGCGCCCCGCGCGACGCGTCCGGCGGCCCAGCCGGACGGGAGGGGGCGGCGCGGTGCCGGTGGCGCCCCGCTGACTGCTGCCGGCGCGCGCGCGCGGCCGGCGGCGTGCCCGCGCGTCCCCGGTGTTCTCAGCGGCCGAGACCGCCCGCAGTCGGCTACTGTGGCGGCGGCCGGCCCCAGCCGCACCGGCTAGCCTCCGCTGCGACGGCGGCCAGCCCCAAGCTGCGCCGGCTAGCCTCTGCTGCGACGGTGGCCAGCCCCCAGCCGTGCCGGCTAGCCCCTGCTGCGGCGGCGGCCAGCCCCAGCCGCGCCGGCTAGCCTCTGAGACGTCTCGCTATTAAATACAACGCACATACGCTTAACATGACTAGTGGCGGGGGTTGTCGACCGAACGAACCAGCGCGACGATTCCACTTGCACCTCGTACATAAACAGGTTCCCGCGGCTTGGCACGTTTAAAAGTATGCGCAGAGCGCACGCGATCACTGGCGCATTTCAGGGCTGAGTCCCTTACGTCTCATGCGACCCGATTCGGCCGCGTTAGGCTTCGAAGAAACCTAGCGGCCGCAACTTTGACGGCTAGGTAGGTCGCGGCGTCACACTCGCGCTTCTAAACACGTCACTCGCGCCACACGGGTTCTAGCCGAGATTGTGTCGCCGCAGGTCGTATAAGTACTGCAGGAAGGTGATGTACTGGCGCCAGCGGCGGCGCCAGGCGCGGCATGCTGCTGCCGCCGCGCCGTCGCTGCGCTGCCGGGCCCGACCCTTCCCCCGGCCCCGGCTCCGGCCCCGCTCACAGTCCGCCCAGCTGCCGGCGACGCCTGGCGACGAGGACCGCTGCTGCGAGTTCGCTCGGCCGTCACCGCCGCCGGCCGACTCGAGTTCCGTCGGCGCTGCCTGGAGCCGTGCCTGTGCCCCTTTACTGGAGTCCGCGTCGGCAGCGGCAGCCCGCCCGGGCCCTCGCACTGGCTCCGAGGCCCGCACACTGTCACTGGCACTGGACGCCGCCCCCGGCGACGGCAGGGCGCGCTCCGCCTTCGCCGCCGCGTCACTGGTGCTCAAAACGGCCGGCAGCAGCGGCGGCGGCTCGGCCGTCTGCGTGCCGTCCGCCTCCGCCTGGCTGGGCGTGGTCAGCTGCGGCGGCGGCTCCGAGAACCGCTTGACACGCAGCGCGCCGCACGCCCGCCGCCGCCAGCCATCGCCCCGCCAGCGCGCTGTCTCGCAGCGCTCGGCGAACGCCGCCAGCCGCTTTCCGCTCGAGCCGCAGCGCCTCGCGCAGCGGTTTAGAGCCCTTGAGCGGTAGCAGCTGGAACATGATGTCGCGCGGCACGGGGCGCTGCCGAGCGCGCTGGTGGCGGCGGCGCGCCTTCTGACGCTGTTGGGCCGCCGCGTGCCGCAGCCGGTGGGACGGCGGCACTCGGCGGCGGCCTTCCGCCTCGGCCGGCTCGGTGGCGCGCGCCGGCCGCCGCCGTCTGGCTTGCGTCCGCGTCCGCGTCCGCTGCCGGCGGCGGCCGGACCCCCGCCGCCGGCCGCCGGCGCCGGCCGTACGCGGCGTCGACGGCCGGCGCCGACGACCGTGTCTCGGCCGCGGCCGGCCGCCCGCCCGACGCCGCCCGTCCCGCCGGTACTTCGTGCGCACGGCGCGCACGCGCACAGCGCCCTCGTCCGAGATGGAGAGGTGCAGCCGACGGTCTGGCCGCTTCGGCTCGTGTAGGTAGATCATGTAGAGTCTCTTCTTGGGCAATATCTTGAATCGACACTTGCTCCCACGAAAGTATTTCTGAAATAGAGAGAATGGTGGCCTGGCCTTCAATCTGCTTTAGTGTTGGATGCACTTAGATGCTCGAGGTGCCACGTGATTTTAATCGGTGGTTTATGAATCATAGATGGATTTTTGTCGACATCATTTGTACACAGCATGGTCAAAACATAACTGGCAATGCAGGTTTAAACAAATATGAGTTGGAAACCCATATGCACGGCGGACAATAACTAAGAGCAGCTTATACCGTTGATCTATAGCCAAGCCTTCCCCGATGTATTGACATGTAGGGATCATTCGCATGATTGCGACTGAAACGGCAAAATTTTGAAAGATGACCCACTCGGGTGATCTGAAACACTGTGCTCGGATCCTACCGAAGAGAACGCCTGGCGCTTTCTGCTGAGGCACAGGTACATTCCAGAGGCCACGCCGCGAAACGTGTAGTACCTCCGAACGTCCGTTCTTATAGTCTTGGACGTGGTCATGTTTAGGACAGCTGAAAAAGACGAAACGTGTAAATCATTCACCATAGCGATTGTGATTAAACCAGCACCAACTCACACCACTTGGTCACATCATAGGACACGGACACCGCAAATGTATCCCCCTCGCTTGGGTTAGGTGGGGTGGGGAGGGTGGACTCGGATCCGCGTCTGCAGGTGTGGAGGGAAAGAGGGTGGACCCGGCGGGATGTCTGGGTGTCAGAGAGGGGTCTGGCGCTGTGTCTGGATGAGGGAGGGAGGCTGGACCCGGTGTCATGACTGGGTGTCAGAGAGGGGTCTGGCGCTGTGTCTGGATGAGGGAGGGAGGCTGGACCCGGTGTCATGACTGG